TATTTATTTTGTTTGTACAAAATAAAGAAATAATTTTTAACGATAAAATAGCCACGTTTATTATTTAAAAAAGTTTACATTAGGCTTAACATCGACGAAAATTTAATGCAAAGCGACACGCAACAGAGAAAAATTTCAGGATGGGATAGGTTAATATATTTTTCGTACACAATCGGCTATCCGAAAAATAAGTTATCCGAACAACCCCAGTCCCCAATTGATTTGGATAAATGACGTTCTACTGTATGTGCTAAACTTAAAAAAATTTTAAGCTTAAGACTATATAAACATTAGAAAAAATGCCAAACAATTGCCAGATTATATCAGGCAATAATAATGCTACTAATTACTAATTAAATGTCAAGTAATCTGGCAATTATTTAGCATTAATCTAAAAATTAGGTTAATAGATGTTTATATTTGCTTTAAAAATGTCATCACAGGTGTAATGCATTTAATTCATAATAATGAAACATTCTAAATTACAAAATATATTTTTTTAAAATAATAGAGTTCAGTGACAGTTCTTTACTAAACACAGTTCACATTGCTTTAAGCCAGTGTTTTTCAACCTGTGAGTCGGACCCTCTGGTTCGCAAAGCCATACACGGGGGGGTTGCGGGTAAAAGAAAAAGACAAGTGTTTGTAGGTCCTACACTACAATAAAAAAAAACTACAATTTCAGTGAGAAGGCTGTGCCTGTTTATTTTACAGTACAATTAGTTTTTCGATCGATATTTAAATCTCAACAGAAAGAAAATTAAATATGTAGTTTTTAAAATCACTGACATAGTTTTAATATGGCCGTGGGGGTTGCCAAAATTTTTTAACTTGTAAAGTGGTCGCCAAAATTTTTTAACTTGTAAAGGGGTCGCGTATTCAAGAAGGTTGAAAAACACTGCTTTAAGCAAATATTAAAAATGTACACAATTAGAAATGCTAACTATAAACACTATAAATTATAAAATTTAAACAAATGATTTTATCAATTTTTTAATAGTATTTATCATTTTATCTAATATCTAAAATTATTTTGAAATTGAAATTTTCAGTATTGATTCCAAGTGTTTTCCTGTTGAGCATATTTGTAAGGGGTTTTATTAAGGTTCAATGTTGATAAAGTTGTTTATAATATTATGAGCAAACTTTTTTAATATTGAACATTAATAAAAACTTATTACATTAATAAAACTTATTACATTAATAAAAACTTATTACAAATGATTCAAAATTAATTAGTATTTTTAAGTTACATTTTGAATATGTTTATAAGTGAATTTATTAATTAATAAAATTATATGTATTTCTTGTCCATCAATTATCTTAAAGGATAATATCACAAGTTGCTCAGCTCAAGGCAAATTGTACTTAATGTTTTGTTAGAAATCAACAGTAAATACAATGCTTGGAATGGAATTACTTTTCAGTAAATAATTTTCCTTTGTAGATTTGATTACTAGAGTTCTTCATTGCCAAAATATTTAATGATGAACACATAGTTAAAGTTATATAAGTTGAATCTGATTAATTTGAATTATTAGATAAATCAAATCCATTGTTATTCCCTTGAAATTTTAATTTTTTAAGTATAAATTTGAATAATTTAAAATTAGTGTGTCACATTTGGAAATGAAACTCAAAGAGAAAGTAGCGCATAGTTTAGTGGTTCATAGAATGTAATTGTAATAGTAAGTGGTTCATAGAATGTAAAATGTAAGAAACATATTTATTTTCGTGAAATGTTTTTTCAAATATTTGTTAATTAAACAGATTTTTTCTTTTAGAGTAGAGCCTGTGAACATATTCAGCACAGCCCATTATTGTTTTCAGCCCCTCAATGCCTAGGATATAACAATGAACATGGTTTTGCTACTAATGAAATATGCTTCCCATCTAAAGACACCATCTTGCAACAATTAAAGAGAGTGGTGAAAGCAGTGAAAGCTCGTTCAGTGTTTGTAGCATCAGATAATGACCATATGATCAATGCTATTAATGAAGCATTAAAGTATTTAAAGGTGAATACAAAAAGAGAAATCTTGAACACAATATAAAATTTATTATATATAAAAGTTTATAACAAATAACATATTGTTTTATTATAGGTCAAAGCTTTTAAACAAGACAATGATGATCCACATGTTGATTTAGCCATTTTGGGACAATCAAATCATTTTATTGGAAATTGTATTTCATCATTTTCTGCTTTTGCCAAGAGGGAGAGAGATGTTAACAGTTTGCCATCTTCATTCTGGGCTTTTCCAGTTGACACAAAGAAAGTGTCACCAGGAACAATTCATGATGAATTTTAACTTATCACTTTTTTATAAAAACTGAATGGCTGACATGTTAATGAGCAAATAACACTGAAACCAAGTGTAAGTAACCAATTAGAGGAGGGAATTTTATTCCTTTTCGTCAGGATAGTCTAGAGTCCTGGCATATGTGGGTGGCGGTTCTTGAGGCAGAAAAAGACAAGAGTTTACAAAAATGTTTATTGGGTCATTATATGCTTACATTCTATAGGTCTGTCCGAAAGATTTGGAGTTCATATCTTTGTCGGACTTTTGTCTTCTTAGGGTATGCCCGAGGTCAGTAATGAGTTGAGGTTTGGAGACTTAGACATGTACACAGGTTGGCAGAAAGTCAATTTCTGATCAACAATGAAATAGGAATTCTCAGCTCAAACAGGAAGTTCTTATAGTCTAATGAACCAACAAACAGATCAGACGATTCGAACAGATTGACAGATCAAACCCTTGTCCTTGGACACTTGGGCTTATATACTTTTTTGTTCTCTATTTCCTTTCCACTGGTTGGACCTTCCCTTCCTTGCTCCCTGATTGGTCTCTTACCTGTCTCAAGGTGAAAATTGAGACCAACTTAGGTTGCGAGAAAGGTCTACCCTGGGGATGGATTATCTGACACCATCCTCTTGGCTCTGATCATGATTTATCAATGACTAAGACACCTATGCTCATATTAAGTTTAAACAATTCTCTTTTCATTTTCTTTTGTCTTAAAATTTGTTTTCCATCTATTCTTTATGAGCGACAATGTCAAAGTCCAGTGTCAGTGGCTTGACACTTACATTTGTTTTCTCAATGTTTTAATAAATACATTTTTCCTTTCATTTCAGACCATTTCCAAGCCTCACACAAGTGTCTAAAATAAATTGCTCCAAGTACAAAATTAAAAATCCTATTAAAAGATAACTGTATTTTATTAATTAAAATGTGAGAATGTTTATTATACCACCTAAGAAAATAGATCCAATTCCATCCAAAATCAAAATTCTTCTATATAGGTTTTGATTTCTTTGAGTGGATGTATGGTTAATACATTAAGATTTACACTTTTGATGTTATTTGTTTACTAGCATTTCAAATTAATTGTTAATATATTACTTACTGTATATATATTTTTATAAATAAAGTGCATTTTTTAAATAGTTTGATAAATTTTTACAATAGTTTCACTTTTATGAATAATAATTAATTGCAATAGATTGGTTTCAAAATTTTTTAATTTATTAACTTTTTAAAGAGAATAAATTAGAAATTAGTCTGAGATTATTTTATTTATGAGGTATTCATACTATCTTAAAAGTATTCTTCTCATTTTTGCAGCAATATATGTCACATCTCACTAACAACAACAACAGTATTTAAATTCATTCTATTTTCTGTTGTCATTTTAATTATTTCTAGGTGTTCAAAGTTTTCTTTTGATGATGATTTTTCTTTTTTAAGAATTTTGATGTTACCAAGTGAGATCTCACAATCAGCATGATTGCAATAGTATATTATGCAATTAGTTTTATAATATAGGAAATTATGGCATGAGTGGAAGTTTGGCCCATTCGCTCTGCTCGTGTGCCAATTTTCATGAATGCCATAATTGCTAATTATAAATGAATTGTCATACGTTATTTTGTGGTTAGACTACACCTATAACTTATTGAAATCAAAATCATGTATAAACACAGTCTTTGTGTCATCCTTGCCATAAATACTGTTTACAGGATTTTGAGTTCCATAAGTATAGTGTTATAAGTGTATTCAACCACAAAAACATGTTATTTATGTCTTACATACATATATAAGAAATATTTGTCTATTAAAAGTATGTAATAGTTTACCATTAATATTTTAACATCCATTTTTCTATTTTTTAATCTAAGAACTACATATCAGACTAGAATTCCTAAATATTGATACATTCTTAGAAATTAGTATGACTGAGACTGCAAGATGCCTCAACCTGATGCCACATACAGTACTGACTACTGCTTATGTTATAATAATGTATATAGCATATTAACATATGTTATATAACAACAAATTATTATAAAAACACAATATTACAATTTAAGTTTAGTAATTAAAACAATAAAATTAAATATTGTTAACATTTCAAAATTATAATTCAAAAAACCAACAATTATACTGATTAGGGAAAAAACATAGCAAAAAAAAAAGGAATATTAATCTAAATATATAAAATTACTTGTCCTGACTGACTGACTGAGTGATTGATTCATCATTGCCCAGAGCAAACCACTGAACCTAAAAAGGTGAAATTTGGTACACAGGGTATGTCATGAAAACGCACACTAAGAAGAGATTTTCAAAATTCCCCTGGGGGGAGAGGAAGAGCATTAAGGCTTAACCTGAAGAACAGCTTATACTGTACTATTTTAGATGTGATTTTTTGTTTTCAACTATGTTTAGTCTTCATTGAGTACTTAGTGTATTAAATTGATAACATTTAAGACATTGTTATAAATATTTTTATATATTTCAATTTTTTAACCAAATGTTCGAACCAAACATTTTAAATTCAGATTTGTTATTGCATATTGATTTGATTATAGAATGATTGTAAACATTCCAGAGAATTGATCAAACTGAAAATAGTTTGTTTGATTCTCAGCAATTCTCATTGTTCTCAGTGGTAGGTGTTATATAACAATTACTATGGTTGTTGAAATACTGAATATAAATGGGGTTTGCTTGCAAAATCTGCATGGGCAAAGTCACGGGTAACAGCTAGTCTTACTATGAAATTATATAAATAAAGCTCTACTTGAGAACTGTTGAGATAGACATTAAGATTAAAGATTATAAATCAATAAATATCCAATATTAACAGTACATAATGTACTGTACTTGTACGCTGTGTTATTAGAATAGTGTAAGTAAAAACTTTCTAGTAATATCAGTTAATAGACAGTTAATAGTAAATGGTATTGGCTTCAGGAAGTTATATTGTTTGTAATCAATCAAATGGATATAAAATGTCAGAGTTTAGAATATTATTAATTGCATTTTAAAGATAAAAATTCAGCAATTTAACCAGAAATTCTAAAAATACTTTTGTACACTTAAATGAATAGCATTAGAATTTTTTTTATCTATTAATTGAAACTGTCAATATCTTTGCATCAGGAGGAACATTTATATATATAATCGAGATGGATTGATGATGATAATAAGTGCAGAGCCCAAACAGTCAGGAGTTGAAAGTTGAAATTTTGTACACAGTTACGGTATATCATGAGAATGTACACTAAGAAGGAATTTTTCGAAATCCTCCTGCAGGGAGAGAGGAAGAGTTAAGGATTATCCTGAAGAACTCCACTTCCACTGTACTATTTTATATGTATTTCTGCAGAAAATTGAACATATTTTTAGACCCATCTAAAAATTCTCTAATTAGTCTTGGATGAGGGAGGACCTAATTCTTGCACCCAGTGAAAATGGGTAAGATCAGCTATAATCTATTAATCTTAATTTTCACTATTGTTACTTTATGCCCAAGCAGTACTGGGGTCATCTGCTAGTTTAAATATAAAATTTGTTTAACAGTCTGTTGAAAAAATGTTAAATTCCTTACAGTAAATATGCCAGACAAACAAATGGAATGAAAACATTACATTTTTTTACAAAAAACTACTTAATTACTTATGACTAATGAATAGGTTCATTATACACCCAGCCTATTTAATTAACTTAACTAAAATTCATTTTGGCCTTACTTTTCCTTATCAATTGGATGAAATACAAAAATCAGAATATATGGTGACAATTGCCAACATTACAATATATATTAATACTACAATTATTATAAATTATTACATACACCTTATTAATAGGATTCTAAATTATCACTAGGACAGTAATGCAACAATACTAAACAAGTCCAGTAAAAACCTTGTGAAAAGTCCTATCTTCTTTATGATTATAATAATTTTTCTATACTTCAGTCTCCATCACATTTGATAGGTATGCTTAAATTTCCTTTTCAATTTTCATTTAAAAATAAAAATCAAAAAAAGGAAATTTAACCAGCATATCTATCAAATGTGATGGAGACTGAAGTATAGAAAATTACTATAACCATAAAGAAGATAGGACTTTTTACAAGGTTTTTACTGGACTTGTTTAATATTGTTGCATTACTGACCTAGCAATAATTTAGAATCCTATTAATAAGGTTTATGTAATAATTTATAATAATTGTAGTATTAATATATATTGTAATGTTGGCAATTGTCACCATATATTCTGATTTTTGTATTTCATCCAATTGATAAGGAAAAGTAAGGCCAAAATGAATTTTAGTTAAGTTAATTAAATAGGCTGGGTGTATAATGAGCCTATTCATTAGTCATAAGTAATTAAGTAGATTTTTGTTACTAAATAATACAGGCAAGAAGCTTTTTAATATATTACATTTTTTGTTTATCTTCCTGTTCCGGTAAAATTTATACTAGAAAAGCAAATAAATTATTGTTTTGTAAATGTTCTTACCAAAAAAAAATGAATGTTTTCATTCCACTTTTTGGTAAAATCAATGGCAGTCAGGATTTAATCTTGGGGAAGCAGAGTTGAACAGATAAAAAAAAGTTTCTAATCCAAATTAAATAAAATTTCCAGCTTATGTGACTACTAATTCATAATTAGTATAAAATTAGAAGACATTACACAATACAAATAAAAAATAATAGATAATAAAAAATAAAAGATTTTTGGAAAATTTTCTAGTGTTTGTTTTCCTTTTTCATTGGAGGATGCCAGGGCACCATGGCCCTCCTGGGTGTGCTACTGGGTAAAAATATTTAAAAATAACAACTCATTTGCTTTATGATATATTTTAGAGGAAAATGAGAAGCATACTGATACAAGATGTTACAGTTCTATATACAGTTATTTATAAAATGAAAACAATATATTATTGTATTTAAGATAAGGCAATTAGAATTTTAATCTGGAAACAAAAAATTATACATCTTAGAAATAAGAATTAAATTGCAATTCCATTATAAATAAGATGTGCAAATTTTTATATTTTTCTAGAATTAAATTAATTTTTAATAATATTTTTCAATATTCATCACTAATAAGGGGAAAATATTTCAATTAAGTTTTGCAGTATATAATAATTCAAATCTAACTGAAACAATAATAATAATAAATTTTAATAAGGACTTGGAGGAATGTTTTACAAAATATTTCTTAAATTTATATTATTTTATTTTTGATGTAAAAGTTTCTATAATTGTGTTACATGAACCAGACCTTGAAGTTATTGACCTTACTGGAAAACTTAAACCAGGTCATTACAAGTGTCATTTATTGTTACTTTACCTTTCTAGGTTACAAATTGGCAATATCTTCATCAGG